CAGAGGAGTTCTGCTCTGGGAGCCAATACTGTGTTTTCCCCCAACACAAGCTAGTACATTGAACATTCCTACCGATTTTATCAGGATGATAAACACAAAGGACCAAATTCTAGAGTGCAACTGATCTTCATAGAGATAGCAGAGGCCAACAGCTTCTTGAATTTTTACTAGCTGCACTGCAGACAAGGATGGGAGTACAGCATCCCTGCCAGACCTCTGCTAGTAATGCCCCTTTACCCCAGCAGCCAGGAGAGAGAATTGTATCAGAGTCTCTGAAGGCTCTTAAAAATCTGCATTACCTTTGGCCTGTCCACACCGCACTGACAAAAATGGCATGACTGGAGTTTCAGTTGAGCCCAGGACAATTAGGTCCTGACAAAAATGGCATGACTGGAGTTTCAGTTCAGCCCAGGACAATTAGGTCAATTATTGTGTTGTTCCATTCCAGCAAGAAGTACACTGTGTATTCTGGGCAATGTTATGTAGGCAATAACCTGAGAGATCTTGTGTTAAAAGTTCTTCAGGTTTCTGTCACAGCACATCCAAAGTAGCAACCAATTTTGATCTTGAGCTATAATTTCCACTGTAATGTATCTGAGTCCCAGATGGTTCAAAACGATTTCAAGATATTCAGAAAATGTACTGAAATAATCAGTGGAAACATTGTGCTTGGTACACAGGTGAAAATGTTTAAAATGCTCAAAAATGTATTTTGTTTTGAATTAGGCATGAAATTGTTTATAAAGCCCAGAAATGTGGTTTGTTGACTATGTATAATACACTAAAATCTTTCCTCATTGATCATGCAAAACAGACAATGAATGACAATCAGCCATATCTCTATTTAGGTACAATTATTAAGGCAAAATATTACTCCATCTCCTTATTTATCTGTCATCAGCAATGCTTACGGTTCAGTATAACTATTAATGTGCTCCTTTTTAACTCCAGGCAAAGTATTTGGATGAATAAAATGCATGATACTTTAAATTAATTTTGTTCTAAATATTCATAAAAGCATGTGTTTTCATGGAAAACGGCATCTTTTCCTCAGTGGCAGCATTGCAGAAAAATAGCGCAATTTACATTTCATAGGGAGGTTCTGATGTCTCAAATGATCAGAAATGGAATATGAAATCAGAAGATGGCAGGGCAGGAACACCATAAAGAGTGCTTGTACCTAGCACCACCACATTTTTGTAGCAACAACACTTAGTGTGTATGCTTTTATGAATATTTAGAACAAACATTGCAATGAACATTGTCCACCTCGTACATCTTCAGGAAGTGACTTCATCGTTTTCTCTGAGACTTTTTTTAATAGAAACTTTTCAGCATCCAGTGCATAAGTATTGGATAGATGATCAGTCTAGTCACTTGCACCACAGAAAGAGACGATCGTAAAGCTAGGAGGCTTTGGATTTGGTGAGTTAGCATGTGTATCCCTGCAAAAACCAATACAGTCATGCACAAGGAGATGGTGATGACCAGGAAATCCCTTGTGAACCATCTAAGATTCAGCTTTGCATTGTCATAAGCCTCTAACTTCTGTCAATAAGGAGTCCTTTCAACCATTTACACGTCAGGTTGGATAAATACTGTGAATATGCTTAGGCATGGTTGGACTTGCATGGTGATCAATAAAACAGTGCTGAGTCACGTCAATGGCACCCATCAAAAGAATTGTGACTCCTGGTTCCATGCCACCTGCTGTAGGCATCTTCTAGACTTTCAGTACATTAAGGGCAGGAAGACACTTTGCTCAGCCCTTGATATCACAGAGGAAACAAAACTGTACAATCTACCACTTCCACACCTTTACCCCCTGCAAGAAAGAGACTTCTGTCAAAATCTGACCTCAGTGTTCCTGCGCCTAGATTAATCTTTCCTGCCTTGTGCAGAATATGCAAGGAAAGGGTGCAATATATCACCATAGACCATAAATACAAGAAAGATCAGCTAGTCCAAGCAGGAGTCGTAGACACAAGGCCATTAAAAAAGAGCTACAGAGTTGAAAGAGGACCAGAGAATTGTCAATCAAATTTAAGGATAACATGGCGTCAACTGAAGTGTGTTAGAGAGACTACACAAGATTTTTGGCAATGCCAGCAGATAAGAATAAGCCTAGCCACACTGAGCAGATGTACAGCAAAGCCTAAATATTTTTCTGTGTCACTGTGGCAAGGAAGCCGCTCCCCGCTGGGATGGGGAAGCCCCCCCCCGCACTCCACAGACTGATCTACCAGTCCATTCATCAACAACAGTAAATACACCATCTCCAGCTGTGCGGTCAACTAGGATTCCACACAATGTTGCACTAATCCCCAACAGTATGTCTAGACTACATGGCTCCATCGATAGAGCCATGTAGATGAGTTTACTAGACATAGGAAAATGAAGCGGCGATTTAAATAATCACCACTTCATTTACATCAAAATGGCCACCACGCTGTGCCGATCAGCTGTTTGACTGCACAGCGGGGCAGTCTGGATGCTCCACGGTTGACAAGGGAAGCCTTTGTCAACCACTCCGGTAAACCTCATTTCACGAGGCATACCAGAGTGGTCGACAAAGGCTTCCCTTGTCAACCACAGAATGTCCAGACTACCGCGCTGTGCTGCCAAACAGCTGATCGGCACAGCGCGGCAGCCATTTTTTATGTAAATGAAGCGGCGACTA